GTATTTGATCAATGAAGGGCAAGGGAAAATGATCCTTACGGGTCACCGCATTCAATTTTTGTAATCTATACACACTCGCCACCCGTTCGAATTCCGGTGGGGACAAAGTCTCCATTTTGATTCTTTACCACTATGAGACCGCTTTTTAGGGACAACTTGCACTCGGACTCACCCATGCACTATCCGAAATTGGGTAAATTACCCTCGTTTGGAGTAGTTTCAGAATTTCTTTCTTCACTACTTCCATCATAGGAGGATTCAATCTTCGTTGTGGTTGATGAATTGGCTTGGCTCCCGCTTCTAACAAAATTCGATGCATGCATGTAGAGGGATTGATTCCTTTCATATCGATAATGGTCTAACCTATCGTTGTCTTATGTTGTTTCAAAGCACTTGTACAAGTCTATCCTCTTGTTCCTTTTGAAGCTTGCTTGAGATGATGGCATGTAGTGTCTCTCCATCTCCGAGATACACATACTTGGGATGGTCGGGAAGAGGTTTTAGCTCCGGAATCGAGGCTTGCAACACGTATGGCCGAAGTTGCTCGATAGGTATCGAAAAATCAATATAAAACAAGTTGTTAGAGCCTTTCAGCCTCCTTAAATTTGTTCATCTTAGTCATGGCCTCTTGTGTTTCGGACTTGAGTCGCAACTCACCACTTACTTTGAAAAGGTGCTCACGATTGACTATCTTCAACTCATCTTTGCCATCAATTTCGAACATATCTTGTGCTAGAGAATCAATTACATCAACCGAATACAAAGGATAATCAACATCAAGATATTTCATGACATCATAGGTATTAAATCTCATGATTTCACCATTAAACTCCATGGTCAAGGTACCATTGTAGACATCAATTTTTGTTCGAGCAAGCTTTCAAGAAAGGCCTACCTAACAAGATTGGTGCCGCATTATCATCATTTTTCATATCAAGGACATAAAAATCAGCAGGAAAAGTCATTTTTTCATTAACTTGCACAAACACATCCTCAACTATTCCCTTAGGATGAACAAGTGGACCTATTAGCTAATTGAATGACAATATTTGTTTCCTCCAAGGGTCCAAGGTTAAGAGTGATGTATATGGAGTATGGCATAACATTGATGGAAGCTCCTAAGTCTAGCATGGCCTTTTTAATGTCAGCATCACCTATTGTGCATGGAATGCAAAACATACCCGGATCCTTGCACTTCTCGGGAAGGTTTCTTTGTATGATTGTCGAAACATTTTCACCTACCTTAATTTTCTCCCTTCTTGTAAGCCTTTGCTTCCTCTTCACTGTACATAATTCTTTCAAGAATTTGGCATAACGAGGGACTTGCTTGATTGCATCCAATAGTGGAATGTTCACTACGTAATTTTGAAATGTTTCATACAAATCGGTATTGCTTTTAAAATTACGAGTGCAAACTAAAGCATCTAGAAAAGGAAGGGGACTCTACCTTTTGGTAGTGGTGAAGACTTACCTATCGTCTCTTCCTTCTTTGGAGAGGTTTGTTCGATCACCTTTTCTTCTTCTTCAATGTGCTGTTGTATTGGTTCAATTGGTGCCTTCTTTAGTGGTTCCAATTCTTTTCCACTTCGTAAGACTATCGCACTCGTATTTTCTTTTGGACTTACCACTATTTGTGAGGGTAGCTTGCTCGAATTTTGAGCTTCAATTCTCGCTAACGACATTGGCCAATTGGCCCACTTGATGCTCTAAGTTTTGAATGTTATTCTTTGCCTCTTGCTGAAATTTCACGAGTATTAGTAGCTAAGGTTTTGACAATATCTTCAAGAGACATACCTAAATCGAAGTTTGAGCATGTGGCCGCCGTTTAGTGAGGGTACTGCTGCTTGAAAGGCTGAAAATTATTGGTGGGCTGATTCATCGGGGCATTGCCATAGCGAAAGTTGGGGTGATCCCTCCAACCCGAGTTGTATGTGTTGGAAAAAGGGTTATAATTTTGTCGTGGCGATCCCGGGAACCCTCTAGCGGCATTTGCTTGTTCAAGGTTATCATCTTGGAGAGTCGGACACATATCCGTTGCATGTCCCATCGCCGAACAAATTCCACAAGCCTTTGCCATTTCTGTTTTTCTTGCTGCTAATTGACGCACAAGAGCAAGAAAGTCATCAAAACGCTTTTCAAGGAAAGAAGTACTTACCTTATTTACTCGTCGAGTGACATAGTCGGATCCGGTTCCAAATTGCTCGTGTGTTCGATGCCATGTTTGCTATCAAAGTTTTAGCTTCTTCGTGTGTTTTGTCGCCTAAAGCACCACCACTTGCCGCATCAATCATGTTTCGATCGGATGGCAAAAGTCCTTCATAAAATATTGGATGAGCAACTGATTTGTGATTTGGTGGTGTAGGCAACTTGCACAAAGCTTTTTAAAGCGCTCCCAATATTCATATAATGACTCTTTATCGTGTTGCCTAATGCCACAAATCTCTTTTCTTATGCTAGCTACTCTTGAGGTCGGAAAGAATTTTTCCAAGAACAACCTCTTCATCTCATGCCAAGTAGTTATGCTTCTAGCGAGTAAGTAATAGAGCCAATCTTGGGCATCATCCTTCAAAGAGAAAGGAAATGCCCTCGGTTTGATTTGCTCTTCGGTGACTCCACTCGGTTTCATACCCGAGCATACCACATGAAACTCTTTCAAATGTTTGTGAGGATCTTCACCCGTTGACCCTCGAAAGCTAGGCAAAAGATGTATAAGTCCAGATTTCAATTCAAAAGTAGTGTTGGCAGAAAATTTGGGAAAGTTAATGCAATGAGGTTGCTGATCCAAGTCGTGGCGCAAGCTCTCCGAGTGTTCTGTTTGCGTAACGTTCTCCATGATTGCAGCGAGTGCTAGCTCGCTCTGTTTGTTGCTCCGTTTGTCTGTTCGTCCGCCGAGTGATGGTGTGGGCATGCTGCTGCTCGCGTGGCCTTCCTAAGACTTCTTGTCGTGTGTTCTATTTCCGGGTCAAATAGCAGGTTTTCAGCGCCGCTAGACCTTGTAACGTACATAAACAATCGTGAAGTCCCGGCAACGGCGCCAAAATTTGGTGTGAGTTTGTTTATGCTCGTCGTGTGCACCCAAATTAAACTCCTAAGCTCCTATAACATAAATGTAGTAAAGGAGAGTAGGGATCGATCCCACGAGGAATTCAATTATGTTAGTCGTCACAAGTCTAGAGAAACATGAAACAAATAAAAAAAGGAAGGTTTTGATTTAATTGAGATATAATTGAAACTAAACAAATTAAATTCAGAAAATGAGTTTAAAGTAAATAATCAAGTAAACGAACCTTGGTTCGGGTAACATCCACTTTTGGAACTTGAGATTTATCCTTGGTGCACGAAATATCAAATTTCCATTCAAATATTTATTGTGATATTGAAATCAATCTTTCCTTACGATTAGCCAACTAAAAACATGTATTCTAATCAACCCTCATTATTTAACAACCCTAGATACGATCTAAGATTTAATCAAACAATGGCTTTATGTATTAGAAAGATCAACAAAGCAAGACAACACAACAATGTAGTTGTATTTAATCTAGTTGAACAATCCTCCTAAGAGTCATTAGTTTCGACGCAAAGAAACCATACACTCGCTAGTTGCTACACAAATCAAAGGGATTGAACAATTACGGATTCAAAATTCGATCTAGCTATAGATTATCTAAGCTAATAAACTAACCGTACACATTAGAAATTAACCCAAATAATCATGAAAATAAGCATAGAAGAAAGTTCAATACTTGAAATAAATAAACCGATTTACATTAATGTTTAAGCACCTCAAAATCTTTGGTTTCCAAAAGCTTCGATTACCTTCACCAAGGAGAAGAGTGTAGTCGCTCATGGCAACCACCATAGCTAGAGAGAGAGAGAAAATAAGGTCGCCTCCTATGAGAATAATACCTAAAGTTTTTCTTTTGCCCTAGTCTCGCTAGGTTTCTATTTATACAAGGTGTATATTTCTCAAAAAGGGTACATAATATTCTCTCCTCTTTTGGTAGGTCGGCATCTTTTTCCGGCAAATCACGTAAGTTTTGTGTCTTTCTCGAGTACCGTTGTCCGTTTCGCGATTTCAGCGTGCCCGCGTCAAGTTGCAACGTGCCCGTGCCTCTATGTCCTTGTGTTTCTATGAATGCCGTATCCGCGTGCCCATGCTTCTATTCTTGACGTGCCCACGCTTCTTGTGTTTTCTAGTAGCTGAATTGACTCGATCGCAAATTCTCTTTATATAACTCTTTTAACACTATTTTTCAATCAGTTCCACACCTAGCACATAGAATACAAAAGGCATTTAAGTTTTATCATTTAGACATCTCAAAATAGTAAAATGTAGGGGAATTTAGCAATTCAAACATATGTTTTAAGCATTATCACAAAAAATTAAATATTTTTGAGATAAATTGACATAACTAAGTTAATTGTCACAATTAATCAAAAGTGGTCCAAAATCGAGATTCGGACTAACGCGCCTTAAAAAAATTATACAAACAACAATAAATATTCAAACACATTTAAGCATAAACAATTGATGAACCAACACAAACCTAATAACGATTAAATTAGACGCATAACAACAATTCAATTAAATCATACATACACAACAATTTAAATTAATTACACAACATAATAACTTAATTAATTACAAGCACACATGAACATGAATTAGATTTAATACATATAAAAACAAAATACTATAAAAATGCAAAATGAATTTGACTATTTAATCGGGATTAATTTTGACCTTTTCAACTTCGATGGAGATTGATATTTAGTAAGTCGTGGAGGAGCGTTGGTCGTTCATTATCGATTTGGATCGAATGGCTATTAGACATGGAATGTGCGTACGACATGGTTGCTAATCGGTTCGAACGAGGCCGCTGAACCGGACGAGTTCATCGTTTTCGGTGGAGGGTCGTATGCGAGTGGTGGTGTGACTAGAGGAGAAACACGCTCGAATCCGGCTGGAGGAGGGCACGAGCGTGTGTAGAGTTGGCATGGAGGAGGGCATAGGTATGCGATCTAGCTTAGAGGGGTGGCTATTATGTGCGACTCGGCTTGAGGAGAGTGTGGGTGTGGGGGTTGGCTTGGAGGAGGACGTGGGCATGCGGGGTTGCTCGAAGGAGGGTATGGGTGCTTGGGGTTGGCCTCGAAGGAGGGCACGTGTGAAGGGTTTGGTTGGAGGAGAAGGCATGAGAGAGGCTTGGCGGGGAGCCAACCGAACAATGTTGGGAGGCTAGCTGAAAATTTCTTTTGGGGGAAGGAGTAGTCGGCTAGGTTTTCTAGAGAGAGGAAATCCAAAATTTTTGGAGAAAAGAGGGTTTTTATATTGGTTTTTTGGCTAAAATTTGATTTGGTCCCTTATCTCACCAACTTACTTTATTTTAGTCATTTTCACTCTCATTTTTTAGTTGCATCCGTCAATTATATTTTTTCAATCCTTTTTTTTTTGGAAAAAATTTGGGTGTTAATAATTGCTCCCTTTTTACAATGCTTATGACGTGAAGCCATTAAGAAATGAAATTTTCTTTAGCTTTGCATAGTGAGCTTATAAAGAAAATCATATAAGAATGACAAAAAAAAATCAATTTACAAGGTTAAATGATGAATGACTGTCTTTAAATCACTAGTCAATTATGAGGACTTTCCTCTAAATACAACTTAATATGGGTAACCATCATCGAGGTCAAGAAGGTGACTTTCCCTTGGTAACTCGGTTAATATGGGTAACCATTCCTAAGGTAAAAAAGGTGACCTTCCCTTGGCATTGCATGAGAATGTAAGTGACATACCCGAGTCTCATCGAAGAAACATAAATTTCATTGTCAAAATGTAAACTTCCTCCTCTTCTTCTTATTTGTAAGTCATCATCATTTGAATAGGCTCGAGGTTTTAGGCTAACTACTATTATTGATTTTTATCTCGTTTAATCATATGTCCTCTAATTATGACTTTTTTTTTAAGTTCGATCGAGCTATCGTTCAATCATTTGAATGGCATTTTCTCGTATAGTTAGGCAAGTAGTTGTTCATTCTTTCACTCTCCTAGAATATTACCTCAAGTGTTCGAGCTTTTGTCAACATATAAAAAATTTTGACCCAAAAATCATGGAGATAGTTTTCATCATCGTCGTTCTTAATTCATTAAGAAGGATTTTATGTCAAGTTTCATGTAGAAAGTTTTCTTGTCTACCAAGTTTGAGCAAACTCTTATCATGTTATCATTTACCAATTTGCTGCATCATCACATTTCATAAGTAATGTCAATCGTAGGATAGAGCATTTGACCAAAGAAAAGGCTTTATAGAGACCGATTATATTTTTAGAAATCGGGTTATTTGAAAGATAAAAAATCATGTTATGCTAGGCAAAGTAAGAATAAAATCGGTGAAGTTGAAATGATTGCTCTAATGTATTTTGGCCACAATTCGGATGATTTCTTTATTACTTTGGATAAAAGTGAAGTCAACTTGATTTGGTTTTGATTTTTTTTATTTTTTAGAAAAACCAACTTTTAATTGTTTTGACATTTATGGTTTAAGCCGTATACTTAAATAATTTCCATCAAAGCAAGTTTAATTATTCAAAATAAATTAGAGAGATGTTTTTAAGAATATAATCTCATTCAAGAAGATATTTGATTCATTTGATCGAAAGCCAAAACACATCATGAAAATGTTGTGATACAATCCTAGAGGTGATCTTTTTAAGGCTAAGTAAGTAAAATGTATTCGGATCACATCAAAGGTTTGAAAAGAAATCATTTTTTAGAAAGATAAGTGTCGAATGTTGGCTCAAACGAAGTGAGATGTTCGAACGGATGTCATGGGCCCAAGCGTTTTTCAAGAAAGATAGGCTTAAATGATTTTGTAGACTCGAAGGCTTTTTAAGAATAATAGGCTTAAATAGTTTCTAGACTAAAAAAATTTTCAAGAAAATTAGGCTCAAATGGGTATTTTCTTTAGAAATATTTTGATTTCATTTGCCTAAAAGTATTTGATTGAAAACTAATAATCCAATACTATGAATGATGATTTATGACGCATAAGCAATTTTTTTTTTTTTATGTTAAAACTTATCAACATAAAGTAAATCATCTCGATCGAAAGGGCTTTTGAAAGCACATAATGTAGGCTAAGGCTTTGGCTTATGAACAAAAGGATATAAGAAGGCTCAAAGAGTGTTTGAGGATATAAAGACTCGGGATCACGTGATCACCCAACAAAATTATTTTAGGCTTGGCCATATTGACTTTGACATTTTCATGGCTAATCTCATCTTCAAATCACAATTCTCTTTTCATGTTCACTCATATCATTTTTTGGGTTCTATAAGTTTTTCTAGCTTTGAATCACAATATGGGCCATTTAGATAACATTTTCTTTCATTTAGTGTCATTTTGTTATTATTTTTTTTCTTTTTTTATCCCTATTATTCTAGAATCGCCATTAAGGCTCTTCTCGATTTTTATGAACCAAATCTTTAATTTTTTAAGGAGAACATCATCGATTTTATACACCTCCAAATTGCCCTCAATGTGAGGGGTGATCTCGATCCAAGCTAGTATTGAAAGAAATTATCAAAGGCTCAAAGTAGGACAACAAAGGATAAAATTAGTTTGTGAATGATATACCAAAAATGATCTTTCATCATCTCTAGTATGAGTCATTCAAGTTGATAGGCTTTAGTTTTATTTGAAAATCATGATTTGTGAGGAAGAAACAATAGATCGAATGACATCATGAATCGAGTGTGCACCACTTATTATCATTTAAGACATCAAATCATTTGGCTTCTTATTTAGGGCATCATTATATCATTCTTGGCAAGATTGTCCTAAAAAAAGCTCATTAAGAAAAGAAGTTTTTGATTTTAATGAAAAAAAATTATCCTTTGACATTTACATGACATGTTTTGAAAATTGATTGTTTTTTGAAATATGTTGAGTGCATTCATCATTTTACTTTTTTCGACTTGGATGGCATAAAATGGCTAATGATACTTTCTAATAAACATTTTTTGACTTCAAATTAAGAATAAACCATGGTAAGATAGTAGAAATTTCTCTTGTATTCAAAGAAACCACTCAATCCAAAAAATCCATAACACTTGTTCTTTGTTCATTGTCATTCGAGTTAGGCCAATAATTTGTTAGCACAATCATTTGGTGTTTTAAGGATATGCTCATATTAGATGTCCTAAAGAAAGAATGCAAATAAGATGAATGGAAAGAAGTAAGCGAAGATGAAAAAAATTTACACGACCCCATAAAATAACATTATTGCGAAAGCATAATGGCATAATGTACTTATAAGCTATAATGACTAAAAGGAAAAGATAATCATAATAAGAGAACAACTAAGTCTTGGAAACAATAATCACTCCTTCATCAAACCAATTGTTTAGCTCTCTCCCTTATTGATTTTGTGTTATCCAATGATAGCATATTTACTCCACTAGTAGTAGTATGATTTGACAAAGGATTGGAATTAGTGTTCGAGGGATTTGAGGAATCTTCAAATGCAATCATGCCTTGATCAATCAAATTTCATAAACTTTTTTGAAGCTCACACAGCTCTCAATACTATGATCATTAATGCCACTATGGTATACACAAACTTCATTAGGTTTATACCAATGTGAGAATGGTGGCTGAAATTGTGTGAGTGTCACAAGAGCTATCCGACCAACGGTTACTTAATGCTCGAAGAGATCACCAAGAGATATGGAAAGTGAAGATAATATATCATTGAATTGCCCTTTATCGGTATTCCTTGGAGAGTTCTAATTAGGTGATCTAGGTTGGTTGATGAATTATTTTAGGCTTCAGTAATGTGTTTACGGCTAATATTGGGGTAAGGTAGGTGTTTGATAGGGATTATGTGGCATTTGGTATCATGAGAAGGCTAGTGTTTGGGCTATCGGTCTAGCTATATTGGTTGAATTAGAATTTATAGGAATTATGAATTGTGCGGATGGGTTGGGTATGTTGTTTCGAGGGTTTCCTCTAAGAGTTATTCTATTATCCTCTAGGAATGAAAGAAGATCCTCTAATTTGATGTACCTCCGGGTCTTTTCTTTCATTAAAGTTATTCTTCTCATATCCGGATTCCAAAGGATCAGCTATATTCCTAACTCGATGGCTTGTTCAATCGATCTACGACGGACACTATCTCAATAAAGTTGTTTGTGTTAGTGTAAGTACCTTAGATTCAACCATGTATGGATGAGTTTGAGTTAATGTATCATTGCATTATTTATTTTAACAATAATAAAGAAGTCATTCTATTAATTCTTTTATTTACATGTTCAAAAAATTAGATAGAAGTCTTTATGATATGCATTTGCAATAGTGATTGATCGAAAGATGTGAGACAAACACTAATGCATATAAATGATATCATTAAATGTCTCAAGTCATAGTATTATCAAGAATGGACATTGAAAAATATAGATAGACTTATGAGTGCTATACTCATGCTATATGATAGCACTAGGAGATCTCACACTTACCGAGATGGTAATACCAAAGCAAACACCGAGGTGATTTATGTTAGAGACCATGTCACTAGACTTGACTTGTCATAAGAACCCATTTGGTTTTAGTCTATGAGAATCTCATATGAGATAGGTATAAATGGTCCTTAGACTTGAAGTCATCACGATTATCTCATTAGAGGACTTATGTACTTTAACACTCATTTCGATAGATCGATTAATGGGTCGCATGTGGGCGATTCATCGAGTGTACTAGAAATCTAATGGAGGTAGGTGTATAACTAAGATATGACATGTCACTCCTTGTATGCTAAAGGAGTTATCACACTAAACTTTGATAAATGTCTACTCAAGAAATCCATGGCCATAGTAGAAGTACACCAATAGAACATAGTTGGTTTACTCTAAGAGCTAAGACATTTGAAAATCAAAGAAAACTTATGTGATCGTAACCGAACAAGACTAATAACCAAGTTCGAGATCACATTATGATATGTTGATATGAGGATTGAATTGTATGGTAAGCATGCTCGTGAAAGGTAATAATGGATTAACTAATCCTCGTTAGAGAATTTGGTAGTCATGATGCCTCGCTGAGGCTAATCTTAATTTATGTATCAAAAGATTAAAGAGGAGTCTTTTATTCTTGATATATTGCCAACATATCTAGGAGCCTATTGAGTCATATGCATAAGTTTAAGTATTCACGTTACAAATGAGAAGCAAGGATATTGGAAAAAGTT